GGACACCGTCTAAATAGTGTTTGATTGTCATTTCCACACCTTTAAAAATTTATTATTCACATAGACTTGATTGACAAGTGAAATGTTATCTTAATTTTTTTTTTTTATTTAGCTATCTGCTATTTACCTTCCTTTTCTATTTTTTCTACTTTATCTTTCAATCAATTCCCCTAGTCAGTCTTTTCTTCAATTCCAATGCCATCTTGCTGAATGTCCTAGCTTCAGGCCCCACAACAGTTAAATCACGTTCTCCAAGACACCCATAAACAAAATTAATAAGCAAGAAAGCTGCGGTTCCTCTCATCCAATGTGAAAAAAAATGGCATTCTCAGTATAATTCTACTCCACTTTGTGCACATATACCTTACCACAAAAGTTGTAAGATACAGCAATAACAGAAAAATAAAATTAAATATTTAAATTGCACAACTCAATTCTAATTCTCATGAAGTATGCAAGGAAAACTTTGTGATATTTGTCTTAATATAAATGAATTACTAGTTTGTGTTTCTGTCGAATTACAGTTTATTTTATTTGATTTTTCTAGCTAGCACATTTTTCTATATGTCTTTACAACACATATACTTTTCAGAGCTACACTGGGAAATACGAACTAACCATGATATAAAATAAAAACACAAATTTTGTATCTCTTACAAATGCTAAAACATGAACTTTATTATTATTATTAATTATTTTGGAGAAAGAGAGAGTGCTTGAGTAGAGGCAAGGGGCACAGGGAGAGAGAATCATAAGCAGGCTTCACACTCAGCCCAGAGCCCAACACAGAGCTCCATCCCACGACCCTGGGATCATGACCTGAGCAGAAATCAAGAGTCAGATGCTCAACCAACTGAGCCACCCAGACCCCCCTGACTTATTATTATTTGATCTTAAATAAAATCTCTTATTCTCTTAACTATGACCATAGGCAGTAATTTCTGATAAATTTTTAAAAACAAATTATAAACTTTCAATGTTATTTCAGATTAACTTATAAATACATACATAAATTCATAAATAAATATTTGTAAATTTACAATATAGAATTGTAACATATTGTCAGCATGAATTTCTGCTTTATATTCAAATAAAACGTGATACCTAAAACATTTATTTTTCATTTTTTATTTTGTAAGAATAATGATATTGATATCTGGAAGGTTTTTGGGAATGCAATGAAAACAATTGCCCTCTCACAAGAATTTTTGTATATTGCATTGGAGTCAGGGAAAAGCAACTATCTTTGGCCAAGTCACTCTGAACAAGAATCAATGGAAAGGTAAGAAGCCATCTGTTTTGACAAAACAGGAGAAAATATTGTTCCTCTTGTCCCAGAGGCAATAAGAGTAGCAATGGTGAGTGAAGAGGCCAAAGCAGAGACATTAATCCAATCAATAGGATCCTAAAAGGCAGTAAGTAGCAACAGCAAAAGGTACTTTGTCTTTGGCTTGAGAGATACCACGCTGTGAAGTTCCTTTTAGACAGAGCTTGGTTTAGTTTTCTGTGGTGGGATTGCTGAACTATGTTATAAGGAACTGATAAATCCAGTAAATAGGAGAACGTTTAATTCTTGGAATGATAAATACAAAAGTAATTTAAAGTATTCTCTATTCATATGAGAATAAGACAAATTAACTTTAAGCAGCTGAAATTATGAAAAAATGTTAGTATTTTTTAGAGGGTAAAATGAAGAGGAACTCCTAAGTGGTAACACCACTTCTACGGACTTCTAGATAGCACAGTGTACAATTACTAAAATGAATCACTGCAATTGTTTACTATTTGGCAAGATAGCCTCCATGGTAACAGCCTGTGCTTTTATTATTTACATTCTGTAAAGAAGGACAAGAGGTCCACTTTTATGTTACATCTCAAGAGCAGCTGATGCGTCTTAATTTTAATCAGTGTCTCTTATGAAAATAAATAAAAAGATTGGAGACCATCGAGGGAACAAATAATGGACACTGAAAGCCCCAGGCAAACAATTTGCTATTGACAGAGGCATTTAACATATGATCTTTGGGTAGTAATTTCATTAAGCAAATATTAATACTACAGCGCATTTGTTACTTTTATCTAAGTCAAGATTTAATGTTTTGAATCAAAACTTAAAGCCAATACCGCTTGATATCTTATTTTTAAAAAGCTAATATTTTTGAGCCAGGTAATATGCCATGGATGCTCTGACTAGAGCATGTTATGTTATTGGATCCTCACATCAGCTCTATGAGGTTGTTACCTTGGGGCACCTGGGTGGCTCAGTCGGTTGAGCGTCTGACTTCAGCTCAGGTCTGGATCTCACGGCTCGTGAGTTTGAGCCCTGCATCAGGCTCTGTGCTGACAGCTCAGAGCCTGGAGCCTGCTTCATATTCTGGGTCTCCCTCTCTCTCTCTCTCTGCCCTTCTCCCGCTCATGCTGTCTGTCTCTGTTTCTCAAAAATAAATAAGCATTAAAAAAAGTAATTATGTATACCTTTTTGATAAAGATTGTGATGGCACAGAGAGGTTACTTATCTTGCCCAAAGTAACATTGCTGTTAAATTATAGGGTTGGATTATGAATGTAGGCAGCTTCCAGAATCTCTCTTTTTGTCAAATATTCTGTAAGCACTTAAAATATTCATTGATTCCCCAACCTTTTGCACTCAGGAGTGGTCCTATAATTTGCCTTAGTTAATGAATTTGGTGAAAATGGCATTTGCTACTTCCAACGAAGAGCTTTCAGAGCTAGTCCATGGATAGTCATGTGCCTTCCCTTTTCCATGAAACTAGTGTAATGACAGATAAAGGACATTAGTCAGCCTGATCCCAACTTGAAGATAGTGTGGAACAGAATTAGTGCCAATCTGAGATTAACCCACAGGATAAAATTATTCATAGCTATAAGTCACTAAGAATTTGTACTGCTGATTGCTACAGTATAACCTAGTTGTCTCAACCGATATGGCTCGTAACCACTATATTATCTGGATTTCCAACACATAGAATGCAAATACCTAGTGCCAAATCACAATTGATATTTTATTAGTTGATATGTATACCAGGTAAATGATGATACCAGATGATGCTTGCTTATTTTCTATATCTAAGAAAATAGTATGAATTGTTAGCCAATATTAACTAGGTAAATGTCCTTCTGCTTGATCTACTGATCAAAATTAGAGAAAGTCAAATAAATAAGCTATGCCAAAAAAAAGAGAGAGAGAGAGAATTTCATGGTACATAATAAAATACAGAATGTTTAAATAATCCAAAGCAATCAGATCAGATTTTGTAGTTGAGTCTCAGAAATAAGTAGCTTATTCTTGCCCCTCATTATATATCAACCTGGTTCTCTCCTATTTGGACATATATTACTTGTATACATTAGGCTTTTATCATCAGAGAGAGACTGACTTGCTTTATCAGTTTTAATATGAAAGATTCCTCAAAAATGTTCCTGCTTGATTCAGATGCATAATGCTGGACCACTCAACTGTGCTACTGAGAATGGGATAATCTAGGCAGCCCATTTTAATAAAAGTCTTCTGCCCCTCCAACACACACACAGAAGAATCCACAGTGATCAGTCAGGTGAGTCCACATAAAAATACTGCAGCCCTCACAGTAGTCATATAAATAGTGATAAAGTTCCAGTTCCTGAGTGAGGAAAAGAAGGATCGTTAAGCAAGTAATCTGCTAATGTATAAATTCATCAAAGAAGAATTTTGCAATGATTATCAGTAAGTTAGAGGTTTTTCTCATTATAGTAAAGAACGATCATTTATAAGAGTATCTTGTCATTAATTGGAACACTATGATTTTATTTTCTGGATAGGAAACCATGACAGTTTGACTAGTCTTCTAGTAAATTGTAATTCTCCACTTCCCTCTTCCTGAAAATAGCATTGCATTTCTGGCTTGTAATTTTCTCCTTATTAATTTTCCAGATCCCACTGGCAACTAGAGGTGATCTTGTGACACAGTTCTGGTCAAACTATGTAAGTGTAAGTAATTAGGAAGGACTCTGAAGAAAACATCTTAAATAGCATATTTTTGGCACAAACTCCTTAGTATTTTGACAATTTCATTTTATTTTTTTTCTGGAATATACATCCAAAATCTGGAGAAGCTGGGGGCCTCTTCATGCTTTGAGAATGAGGATTTTGCAGTAGAATTCTAGTGAACACATAGACCATTCATGAAAAACCTTAACTGAAGCACCAGTTCTGATCTGCTACTCACTCACTTGGAAACCTCTAATGGCATGAGTAACATAAATGCCAGTATATTTAAGTCACTCTTAATTTGATTCTCTTTAACTTACAACCAAATGTAAACCCTAGCCAGAGGAGTAGTTTACAAATTATAATTGTGGCCATGGATCTTACTTTTATATCTCAAACAAACCTTATTTAAAATAGTTTGTTGTTTTATGTAAGTGCAAATGCCATATTAAATCTAAAATGTGTTCATCTTTTTTCCCAAGACGTTCTAAAGTGAAGTCTAGTTATTACATCTATAGATAATTATTTATTTTTCTCATAATTCATAATTTCCAGAGGACAGTTATTTCTCCTTTAGTGTCATCATAATGCCAATTTAGACTTTCCGCACAATACAAAAAGAGGAATTACAGGACAGTCATAACAAACATCTCCATTTAAGGGAAAAGGGACTTTTTTTTTCCCAGAAAGATGGCACCAAACATGGAGAAGGAAGCTCTTGACCTTTCTGAAGCTGAAACCAAAGCAAAAACTTTGAAAGCCAAGAATGCAGTTCTTGAAGGCATCTAGAAGAAGAAGAAGAAGAAGAAGAAGAAGAAGAAGAAGAAGAAGAGGAAGAAGAAGAGGAAGAAGAAAGAAGAGGAGGAGGAAGAGGAGGAAGGGGAGAAAAAGGGGAGGAGGAGAAAAGAAGATTCACACATCACCCACCTTCTAGAAGCTAAAGACACTACTATTCTGAACACAACCCAAATATCCTCAGAAGAGCACCCCCTAGGAAAAGCAAAGTTTTACCACTATCTCATTGTCAAATTCTTCCTGACCACTGAGTCACTCTGAAGAAGATAGAAGACAACAACACACTGTGTTGTCAATACACTGTGGATGTCAACACCGACAAGCACTGGTTCCATCAGGCTGTGAAGAAACTCTATGACATTGCTGTGGCCAAGGGCAACACCCTGATCAGCCTGATGGATTGAAGAAGCATATGTTCCACTAGCTCCCAAGTATGATGTTTTGGATGTTACCAACAAAATTGGGACCATCTAAACTGAGGATAATTCCAAATATAAACTTTTAATCATAAAAAAAGAATAAAAAGAAAAGAACAGAATGATCAAAACTTCATAATATATACCACATTGTGCTAGAGTGAAATACCAAGGTCTTCCAGCTATGAAGTAAAGTGAGTACCTTCACCAGAAATCTATCCACTCTATAATTCTCTGAGTATTTTTTGTCATGAACACAGTTCCATGTTTTCTAAAAGGAGTATAAAGGAGTACTTCATTTCAGCTCTATGTTATTAAGAGTGAGTCTTTTATTTTTTTCCCAGTAACAAGAACTGGGTTGTATTCAGAGATAGACAAATCATAGATTTCTGTTTGCCAGTATTCTCTGTCAATAATTTCTAAAGATCTTATCAGCTACATAGAATTCATTTCAAATAATTCATAACTAGTAACTTCAATGACAATAATTATCTAATATAATATACACTGAGCCCTCAATATATTTTGAATATGGACCTTTTTCCCCCCTCTTCATTATCAACAAACATGCCTTTCCTGCAGTGGTTAAAAAGTAAATAAGTGTTGTTTCCCTGATCCAGTCTGAGAACAAAACCTACAAAATTTTAAAAGGAGGACTATGTTATAGTAGAATGGGCAGAGTATCAATTTAACATACAAGAATAAGGGAATTCTCACTGTCCTCTGCCCACTTTGATGCAGTCCATTCCTGACTCTATGGTTTGCCATTTATAGTGACCCACTCTGAAATCCAGTTTCTATATTATTAAGGATTTTGTCATCATATATGTTATAAAAACATTTAAATGTAGCTTTGTCAATAATGGAATGTATGTCTCTGTAACAGAATGTGATGAGAATGTCTACTCAGGTATGACTAGATCTAAGAGCTCAAGTGATTTTATTAGAGCTCTACTTCCCCATCTTGTGGATGTCCTTGTCATTTCTTGCACTGAATGCGCCTATAGATTCTCTACAATTGTACCAAAAAGATAGATGCCATCAGCTTTACATTGTTTTAAATATTGATTTTTTTGAGAAAGAGAGAGGGAGAGAGATATCAAGTGCAAGCAAGGGAGGGGCAGCGGTAGAGAATCTTAAGCAGGCTGCATGGTCAGTATGGAGTCAGATGTGGGGCTTGATCTCACAAGTGTGAGATCATGACCTGATCTAAAATCGAGTCGGGCCTTAATCGACTGAGCCACCCATGTGCCCCATATATAGAACTTCTAATCTAAAATACAAATTATCTTTCACATTGTCTATAAATTAATTCCAAGGAAGATTTGGGTGATCTTTGCTTGTATTACATGTTTACTTCTCTAGAAGGGATTGGAAGCAACATAATTTATGACCTGTCCAAGTGACAGATTGTTGCCTACAGGTGAACCTCAGAAAAGATAGGGGACACTTTCTGTTTTCTTTTCTTTTCTTTTCTTTTCTTTTCTTTTCTTTTCTTTTCTTTTCTTTCCCTTTTCTTTTCTTGTCCTTTTTTCCCTTTTCTTTTCTTCTCTTTTTTTGTATTTCAGCTTTACTGAGGTATAAAACTGATATATACAATTGTAAGATATTTAAAGTGTACATTGTGATAATATGATATAAATTGTGGTATACACTTTGAAAAGATTCCCCCATCTAGTTAATTAACACATCTATTACATCACATATTTATTTATCTGTTTTTCAGTGTGTATGAGAACATTTAAGTACCAAGAAATAAATCAAGCAATCACTGAAACAAGGAAGAACACCAAAGGCATCGGCCTATAAACTAGGGGCCAAGGTCTGAATATCAAGGATGGTGGAAACAGCCTTAAAGAGGTTGAGCATGATTAGAACTTTAAAATCAAACATCCTGCTGTCTATTCATATAGATCACCTGAATCAGTTTGTTGCCAATAGCTCTTTATCTAGTACACGAAGTATGTCACACTGAGTATGACCTCTATTTTTTCATATTTGAAGACAGCTGTTAATAGCATCTTTGTTCCATGTTGGGTTTGTTTTTTTCTTTTTTAGTATTTTAACTATTTTTTCTTTGTTTTTGACTTTTACCAGTTTTGCTGTGATATGAGTATATATGTATACTAATTTGCAGTGGCTGTAACATATTACCACAAACCTAGTGGCTGAAAACAACACAAATTTATTATCCTATAGGTCTTGAGGTCATAAGTCTGAAATGAGTCTTATGGGGCTGAAATCAAGGTGTTGATAGGGCTGTGTTGTGTTCCTTCTGGAGGACCTAGGGGACAGTCTGTTTCCTTGCTTTTCCAATTTATAGAGCCCATCTGCATTCCTTGGGCTTCTGGTTCTGTCTTCCATTTTGAAAGGGACTCATTCTAGATCTACTTCCATTGTCATCTCTCCTTTTTTCTTATTTTTACCTTCCCACCTCCTCTTGTAAAGACTCTTAGGATTACATTGGGCCCTTCTGGATAATGTAAGATAATTTTCATATCTCAAAATTATTAATTCAAGTACTTCTGCAAAGTCCCTTTTGTCAAATAAGGTGACATAGTCATAGAGTCTGGAGATAAGGACATGAAAATCTTTAGGGGGTATTAGTCAACCCACCAAATCTACTACATGGATGGGTAAATCAGTGTTTTAAACAAGTTTGGGAATTTTTATCCATTACTATTTTGAGCAATGTTTCTACATCTTTTTTCCTCTCTTTTGCAACTATAATTTCACAAATGTTGGAACAATTAGATCAGATCTGTTTTAACAGATTTGTCAGATTTAGTTCATTTTTTTTTTTGAATCTATATATCTTTGGGTTCTAGATTGGATAATTAATCTATAGAAAAGTTCACTGCTTCTTTCTTTTGCAATCTCAGATTTCCTGTTGATTTTACCTGGTGAAATTTTCATTTCAATTATCATGCTTTTTATCTCTAGAAATTTCCATTTTGTTGTTCCTGATAGTTTCCATTTTATGTTAATTTTCTCTATTTGTTGACTTGATAATAGAATAATTTCCTCTCCTTCTTTCAACACATTTATAAATATTTGAAGATTCTTCTCTGCTAAACTAATTGTCTGATTCCCGTCAGAATGAGTCTCTGATCATGGCTTTTATTCCTGAAAATGAGTTTCAATTCCTGTTTCTGTGCATGCCTATGCTTTTTTTATTGAAAACTGGAATTACACACAAATTGTTGTTTGGCTTAGATTGTAAATTGTTCTTTGGAGGACTGTTAGTATTTATTTCAGTAGGCGATCATTTATGTCTTTGTTGCAATGCTCAGCCATGGACACCTCTTTTCGGGTTTTGTTTCCGTGGCTCCCTACTCTTCTATACTTGCATAGTTTAGAAGTCACCCAATATCCATAAAGGAATCATATTGAATGTCTCAAAAATGTCCACTTTATGTCACAGAAAGTGTTGCTTGAGGAATGCATTTAAAAGTACACCAAATTTGCAAACTCCCCACTTTCTCAGTTTTCATTAGCATCCTCTGAGGTCCTTTGCCCACGTTTCTAGTTCAGCAGGGACTTAGGGGTGGGGGAAGAGTTGTCACTATTGCTGCTGCTACTGCTGTTGTTCTTTCAAATCTCAGTCTTTCCATGGATGTCTCACTTCTAAAACCTTTCCAGTCTCTCTTCTGTGTCACCTATTCTGGATAAAGACACCCAGTCCTAGAAGTGTGGGAATAGTCTAAGACAAAATGTCCTCAAACACAATTGTTATTTGAAGCAGTAGTTATTCTTCATGAGGAAACACTTCTCAAGATGTTGTCTATCTTGGTCATTTTCTAGTGTCATGTAATATTTGTTTTTGAAAATTTGTCCAGTTTTATACCTAGGTGCTACTTACAGGAACCACCTACCATTATGGAAATTCATGCCATCTTTACTGGAGTTATTGTCTGAGTTCCTTCCTTCCTTCCTCCCTTCTTTCCTTCCTTCCTTCCTTCCTTCCTTCCTTCCTTCCTTCCTTCCTTCCTTTCTTTTTTCTTTCTTTCTTTCTTTCTTTCTTTCTTTCTTTCTTTCTTTCTTTCTTTCCTTTTTTTCTTTCTTTTCCTGTATTAATGCCAGACATGCATTTTGACAAATTTAGTAATATTATAAGAAAACATAATTGTAGCTTAAATATTTTTCATTTGTTTTTAAGGAGGAAATATATGACTTAATTAATGTTGGAAAACTCAAGCTTCAGGCTATTAAAGAAATACATAGTGATTATGATTTTTTATGTACTACCTCATATAATTTCTTACTTCTGAATACACAATCCCTTTTAACTTCCTGCTTATCCTTATCAGCCCAGGAAATAAGATTCTGAACCATTGATATGCCTTAACATGAAGTAAAATAACCAAATATTAGTTGATTAAAATTTTTTCATCTGAGAGGGAATATTCCTACCCTTATCAGGAATAAAATGTTAATAGTCATACAGCCTGCAATTATCAAGACCATAGTTAGAGAGCATAAAAATATGTAGGCAAAATCAAGATTAGAGGATAATCATAGTAACATGTATTATTTGTTCACTATTATTTATTTCCTCATATTCTTTGTCAGGCTTCTTCGCAGGCATAATGTACTTTCTCATGCCATTGAATTGGCACTCCTGGACATTTGACATGCTTTGACTGATGAAGCATGAAAGGATGTGATATTTGTTTTATCTGAGCAAAGGCCATAATGTAATTTCTTCTTAAACTTCATACTCCTGCCTTTCACCATAAAAACATGACCCAGATTGTCACTACCCCTTGAAACTGAGTTCCAGAATGAGAAGGTATGTATAGGTGAGTCCAGCCAAGCCCAGAGAAACCAAGAGAGACCAAAAGAGTTGAGTTGACCCATGCCCCTTTTGTAATATGAAAAAAGAAACAATTTGCAGTTGTAATCTGCTGAACTAGTTATTGGTGATTTGTGACCAAAGCAAAAAAGAAAAAAAAAAAAAAA